CTGTTCAAAAACTGTTGACTGGTAGGTTATATAGATTACAGAAATGTTATATTGTAATGATATATTGTAATGTTTTATATAAATATTTTTGTATATATATAACATTTCTGTCCCCCTCACTTCTGAAATGATGACTACGCCCCTGCTTGTATTCTAACCTAGTAGGCCTGCATGGCCTCATGCGATTCCATTGCAGTACAATGTTGCCTTGAGGCAGCATGCAGTTTTTTGTAATTTCCTATGATACATTTGATGAAATATTATGTAAAGTTTTTGAAAATACTTCTTTACTTTCCAATGAAGGTGACTAAGATTTTTTGTAGGCAATTATATGCACGGAAATTGATGAAAAATGCACTTTTCATTGGACAAAATATGGAGTCATGTGACATGTGCACATGTCCTGAAAGTGGAAACAAAATGGACCCCTGTGGGTCATGTGACCACTTTTTTTGTATGTTCATTTATTAGTATTTGACTTCTACTTCCCTGAGACAGCATTGGTCAATTAAACGAGTCTCTCATTTTATTAAAAAAAACAAAAGTATGTTGTGTTGCCTGGAGGCAACACGGTACCATAGAGGGTTAGTAACACTGTAATCAGCACAAACTGGGCTACAGTAATATGTGAGCAGCATGTATGTATGTGATTGTGTTTCTGAGAAAACAACGTTTATGCATACTTTAAAAAAAATTTAAAGTCACTGAAATAAGGCCATAAATCACATACAGAGCATTTGTTCACAAGACTTTTGAGAACTGGATCTTGAAGTCTAGAGTTTTGGCTTCAAAATGATGTGTTCAAAATCATCTTACTCACTCATTCAACTCAATAAAGTATGTTTTACCTGAAATGTGTGTTCTGAGCAAGCATGGGTTTGATTTCCAGGGGAATGCATGCTTTGAAAACATTTATAGATTGAATGCAATGAAAGTCGCTTTGGATAAAAGCATCTGCCAAATGCATAAATCAGGGTTATTTTTGTTCATTAAAATTCAAACTAAAACCATAGTTAATTTTTGTTACTTAAAATAGAAAAAAGCGTTTTTCATTTTGGCAACATTTCTCATTTTCATTTAGTTTAAATTGAAGCACTAAAATTAATAAATAAAAATTAACAAATACCGTAGAGATATATTTGTAAAAAATGACAAAAACATATAATAAAATTACTAAAACTTTAACTAAAATATAAAATCTTATATAAAAAAAAAAATATATATATATATATATATTATAGTTATATATATATATAACTAGTATATCAATGATACTAAAATAACACTGGTATTAATGTAATGTAAATGACTTTTAAATTGTTTAAATCTATATAGACATTAAAAAACAATTACTTAAACATCAACATTAAAATGTAAACATAAAAATAAAAACATTCAAAATATTAATAAAAGCTATCATAGTATCTCAGTTACACTAAAATAACACTATTAATGTTTGTTAACATTAATAAAAATACACCTGTCCATTGTTAGTTCATGTTAGCTCAGGTCCATTAAATAATATAAAAGATAAAATTTTTGGTTTTAATAATGTAATAAATGTTGAAATAAACATTAACTAAGATTAAAATATACTTTAGGAGTATTTTTTTATTGTTAGTTCATATTAATGTAGTTAACTAATGGAACTATTTTAACAACTGAAACCTAATAGTAAAGTGTTACCAATTCTTTCACGTCATGTTTGTTTTTTGTCTATTAGAGATTTCAAACAATTAATTTTAAGCATGTAAGTGCTCACTGTTGAATCAGTAAAAAACTAAAGCTGTCTGTTATTTTCTCTCAGAGTTTCTGTTTTTTGAAACTTGAGAAGCTGTGTTTATTGGTGATTTTGTGTGTGATTTTGCAGGAGGAACCCCGTATCCAGACCTGCCCATGAATGAGTTGTTTTACAGTGCTCTGAAGAGAGGATACCGCATGGCTAAACCCTCGTACGCCTCCGACGACATGTATGTTTCACTGCGTTTCCTACTGACCTGAATGAAAATTACTAAGCATACAGGCTGCATGCTTATTATTGCACATATGCTCGAGTTACATATTCAGACAGTAAATAACTTTTAAGTGCATAGTAACAGGCAGGTTTGTTTTAAAAAAGAAATCCTGGAAATCTCTTGTGGCTTTTGTGAATGAATGACAGCGGATTTGGAGTGAATGCTGGTGGTTTTGTTCCTCTGCAGTTATGAGGTCATGAGGAAATGTTGGGATGAGAAGTTCGAGAAGCGTCCGGAGTTCTCCTTTTTGGTGCACACAATGGGGAACATGCTGTCAGACGGTTATAAAAAGGTTTCCTTTATGTTCCCTGTTTCATTTCCATGGTTACTGCATAGATTTGCAAAGAAATTCTAATTGTAATATTCATTTTCTCTTTTGCTAGAGTACTTTCTGAAATCACACAAAGGAACATGCACAGAGACGCTGAATTTAAATTTAAATGCATGAACAATCCATTCAAATGGGAGTGATTTTAAATATAGGAATGAGAAACATTGACACATTTTAAACAAACCTTTTGTCATGATATGAATAAACTATAAAAATGAAAGGTCGCAAAGCAATTCTAATTATAAATTCAAAAAATCGTTACTTGAAATAAAATTAACGTTAAATGAAATAAAATATAAAAAATGTAAACTTATATTAATTCAATTAGTTGCTATGGAAATATTTCTTGTTTTCGTTTAGTTTAACTTAAAGTACTAAAATAACTAAAACTAAGTAAACTAAAATGAATAAATAAAAAATGTAAAAAAAAATTGAAAATTTGAAAAAGCTGATAAAAATGACTAAAACTATAACTAAATTTAAGACAGAAAATATAAAAATAAAATCTTCACAATATTAACAAAAACTATAATAGTATATCAATGATACCCTGAAACGGTCGATCTCCACTAACTTTAACCAATCAAAATATTGATTGAGATTAGGAAACCTCTCTGAGGTCTCAAAATTGTGTCCCTGCGGGTCGTAATGCACTCAAATGCCATCTGTTGAATTCATCTTATGTGTGGATTATTTGGTTTTATTTGAAAAAACGAAGCACGCTCTGATATGAATCTCTGGTTTCAACAGCTCTGATAAGTTATAAACATTGAGTGCGTTTACATGCACCCTCATAATGCAGTTCTAATGGGATTTTGGCAATATTGTGATTAAACTTTACATCATGTAAATGCAATACTTCAATCAAAATAATGCAATTAAGCTCATAATCATATTAACCATAATTGCATTAAACTATGTGGCATTTGTGAGATTGTGATGTTGCGATGCTCATCACGGCGCCAAATAACCTTCCAGGACATCAGTAGTGTTATTTTGCATTTGACTTAAAGGGTTAGTGTGACGAGTGGGGGCGGGGCCGAGAGCCGTGGGAATTTTTTTATGGATGGGCGCTTTTTATTTCACTTCTTTTGGACTGAAGCACTGCAACACCCACTGACTGCAATGACAGAGCTTGAAAGATCAAAGACAATAGAAGTACAAAACGAGGATTTGTAAAGAAGAATGTCGGAGGATTTCGATATAAGCCAAGAGGAGACTGGTTTTCCTTTGCTAAAGTAAGGAAACTTTGCTTCCTTTGCTCCTGTTAACAAATGTTGTTTTTCACGAGACTCACCGGCGCATGCGCAACGCTGACTTCATACGTCATCAGCCGTATGCTTCTGTGTACAACTGTTGGCGCAAGCTACATTAAAGTGATTATTACGTTTTGAATATGGATCTTTTTCTTACAAAAACGTATCGATTCGCTACAGGAGGACTTTGTTCATCCCCCAGGGTCGTGTGAGACACTTTTTTTTATGGATGGGCGCTTTTTATTTCACTTCTTTTGGACTGAAGCACTGCAACACCCACTGACTGCAATGACAGAGCTTGAAAGATCAAAGACAATTTTTAAATGGGTCCCGACTGAATTCCTCTGAAAGAAGAAAGTCATATACACCTAGGATGACTTGAGGGCGAGTAATTTGTGGGCTAATTTTCATTTTTGGGTGAACTAACCCTTTAACA